CCTGTAAAAAAATATGATTTTTTTTAATTAAAAAAAAAAAGTATGGGGTTATATACCATTTTCCTCGAACTATTCATAATTTTGGCAATCTGAGTTCCAATTTTGCCTTTTWTATGTGAATAGCTACAATGCCTTTTTCCCACTGCCAATTTGTAATGAATATTTGTACAGATAAGAAAATGTGTGCTATTTATTTGTACAAACAAATTTCGCTGGAATGYGATTGCAAGGAATAACAGCAACAACGTTATCATGCATACTGGATTAGAAGTCAAAACATACACTAACGTACCAAATTATTGCGATTCACTTATTTGATAAAACTAAAAACTGATTTAAATAATTTATTTTAAATGTGCTATTCCTCTGCCCATGACTGTATATACCGATACACATTCTTCTTGTTAACCATGGGGCGCAATTTAAAATATTGGGTATGTGAGCGAAAATTAACTGAGTGCGAGAAAAATACACTCATATTACGGCTTTACCCATTCTAAGGCCACATTATTATCAATATTTTATCTGAACTTCATTAATATAGCTCAAAGATTTATCGACATTTTCTAACATCACACGACTTTATAATGAGCTCCACATATTGTAAGTGAAGAAACTAAAACGAAAAGTTGAAAGTTATATCACTGGTGGCCTAACTGACTCAAAAAAAAATAAATAAATGCATGACGTTAGACGTCTCCTTATATCCACAAACTAACTGTCATAAACCAAGCTTTAGCGCTTTTAACGCAAAATGTTATTGCTTAAACATTGCGCCGCGCGTTGAAGGACGCTGGTTACAAAGCGAAAGAAAAGATAAACCCGCTTTGTGTAAAAAAAACATGTTTCTGTCCAAAAGGATTTCCACAGTTTATTTTCAACCAGTCGAYTCTTAACAGTACAAGCTCGGATTTGAACTCCTGTTTCCTCCCTATTATCACAGTTGCTWCAAATGGACCAATTTAAAAATATCGCCTGTGCACAATGTTTTGCCGGATAAGCCTCGAAATGCACAGAATTCATGAAATAATTTCTCTTAAAAGGGAGTCGACCAAGTCGTCTGAAATTCTAACACATTRTTCCCCTTACTTTTTGCAGTGTTGGAAATTTGTTTCAAGAGATTAGACATGTAAATTTTATTGTTTTTATTTTATTTAAAAAATAATAATTTTAATGCAAATAATAAAAACAGAGATTTATTTTTCCCGAGAAATCAAGACGATTCCACATGCAAGGATTGCAAAGCAAAGCGTTTCTTCTAAAAGGAATTGCGACGAAAGCGAGCTCCTTCACCAGGCATCGGTAGCAGCACTTCATCAAATTGTTCTTCATTCTGCCGCTACGGTGATGTTGAAGCGTTTTATTGAAATATATATTTGGTAATATACATTTATTGCATGTTTAAATGTATATAAAAATTGGTTAATTTTTTATTTTTTTTTTTTT